AAAAACCTGATTTCCTTTTAATGTAAATTTTTGTTAAAAAGATATAAATATATGCTATTAGTTAAATTTTTTTACATTTTATCTACTTTATGCCTAATAATTTGTTGTGTGTATTTTTGGGGATCTTAGTAAATGCGGGGTCGTTACTAAAAACCTTTAAAAACATATTGTAGTTTTGCGCATTTAATATCGAGTTACTTAAGTTTTATTTATGTGTTTAACTAATTAGTTAGATTAGTCTGTATTTCCAACACTTTTGAGGAAAGAAAGAAAACATTCTTATATATGTAAATCATTGTTTTACATTTTATTATTTTGCTAAAAGGTCTTCATCAAAAACATGATTACTTTTAATAAAAAAAACTCTACTCACCTGGCCACCATTAAAAAAAAAAGAGAAGAGAAACCTCTTAATTAGTGTCAAAATATTTAGTAAAATTAAATTTCGAGTTACAAAAGGAATTTTTAGTAAATGGTAGCAAATTACCGTTTACTAAAAATTAATGAAATAAAGAGGCCAAACAAATAATATAGAAATGGTCTGTGCTGAACAGACTTAACAAGACCCGGGTCGGGTCAGCTTTGTTTACAAATTTTTATGTTTACTTATCTGTTATAATTTTTATTTTAGATTTGTCATATGATGCATTAAGTTTACATATTTTTTCAAATTTGTTATACCCATGTTTGATTGTAAATTAATTTTTTTTTGTTTGAAACGTATTTGTACTTAGTTGCTTAGTTATTTATAATAAACTTAGTTATTTTTAATAAACTTATTTAGTTGTGTGCATTTAACATTTTAAGTTAACAATTTTCTTTTCTAAAGAAAATTTAATCAAGGGGATACCAAAAAATTGATAACTCCTCTATAATATAAGTTAACTTCATTTTAATCTTAATGGTTCATGTTATAAAAATTGTTACAAGGATTTAGTTGATACTTTCGTCAATTTAAAGCATGATGAAGTGTTATTATTTTGTGACAGTAACTAAAAACGTATTGTGTTGAACTTAGGAAGGTCGATGCAAATGGTTCTGCCTTACACTGTTATGACCTATGTCAGTTGTAAATTACTCAAATAATGTTAAGTAGTAATTTTAAATGTTAAGTAGCAGTTGGTAAATTATTTTACCTCCTAATACTTTTTATGTTAATTTTACAGATGGATTAATTTTTTCAAGCTGAAGGCGTTTTTCTAAAAGGGTATTAGTTAAGGTTTTGCAACATTAAATTGTGGAAAACAACCACTATAAATTAATTATGTAACAGACCGACCAAAACCCGTACTACGGGTTGCTTTTTGCTCGTTTTTATTAATGGTCTTACTCTCAGTTGTTTTGGATTTTAAATATTTTTAAAGTTTTTGTTTAGTTTTAGAAAATTTTAGAATACCTTTAGTAATGGTGATTTAATTTTTTTATGTTTGTAATTTATTTCTACTTTGGGAAAATTAATGTCATAAATTTCATAAAAAATTTAAAAAAAAGATTTGAATATAAAATTAATGTCTTCAGAAAAGTTAATAATGTTCTAATTAACTAAAAAAGTTGATATTTAAAAGATTCTAGGTTTTTATTATGAAAAATTCGTTTTTTAAATGATTTTTTTTCATAAATATCTATTGAAAAGAAAATAGGAAAATGATCAGATATATCACTTTTAATAATGTCTTTTTTAAGCGAATAATTAAAAATATCGTTGGTTATAATGTTATCAATTAAAGAAGTTGTTGTTTGAGTAATTCTACTTGGTTTGTTTATTAGAGGAACTGCTCCATTTTCAAATAGACCATTATAAAACCCATTAATGTCTTTTTTGACGTGATACTCAAAGCAACTTAAATTCAGATCACCTAATATGTAAAGTAATTTCTTTTCGTGGTTCATTTTATTTATAACATTATCGTGTAAAAATGTACCTAATGTTTTAATTTTGCCAGTAGGTGGGCGATCAAAGCAGCTAATCACAATGTTTTTAGTTTTATTGATCAATATTTCAATCGTTAAAACCTCTTTTTTGACGTGAGAAATAATCATGCTATGCCTAATATAATACCGTAGGTTTTCTTTTACATAAACAATTAAACCACCGCCGCGTTTATTTGTTTTCCGCCCTAATAAAATCAAATTATGGCCCGGTATTTTAAAATTATTATCTAAATTTGAGTCATCAGGGGCCGTATTCTCATCTCTCCGTTAAGCTTATCTCATTCAGTTATCTATTTTCATCTCTCCGTTAAGCTTAACGGAGCGTCAGTAAAAAAATTTTTTTTAACTGCATTAATAAAAAAGTTCTTTAAAAATATAAATTTTTAAAAATAAATGTTTTATTTTAGTATTAGTTTTATTTTTAAAAATTTAAATAAGGTTTTTGTCATTTCTTTACTTAGATATATTGTAATGAAATTTCAGACAAAAGTTCCGTTAAACTTAACGTAGAGATGAGAATACGGCTGCAGAACTACACCAAGTTTCAGTTAGGCATATTACAGGGTGACAACCATAAGGTGAAACACATAAAGTAAGCTATATTTTTAAATTTAAGAGTTATATTCATTCGAAAGTGGTATCAATAGAAAGCTACAAGTGTATTTAACAAGTTTTATTGGTTTAATTCGAACCTGTCGCCCTCTGCTTTTATGCAGGCTCGACGTCTCTTGAAAAAGTTTTCACACGCGGCACGCACGGTTTCTTGTGGCATTTTGTCCCAAATGTCGATCAAAAGTTCCTTGAATTGGTCCAAAGTTGTTAATTTATGCTTCCCCAGTTCTTGTAGCATGTATCCCCAGACAAAGAAATCAAGGGGATTGAGGTCAGGACTCGAAGCAGGCCATTCTTTGGTATCGATAAAATCTGGGAAATTTTGCTTGCAGTAATCTTGAACAACAACAGCCTTGTGTGCAGGGGCAGAATCTTGCTGGAACACCCATGGATCATCACCATACATTTCTTTAGCCTTAGGTTCAATCAAATCTTTGATCACATTCTGTAAGTAGTATTCTTTGTTGATTTTCACCCCTCTATCGATAAATTTCAGAAGAAATTTCCCCTTTTTTGAGATGGCCCCGAATACCATGACCGCCGAAGCGTTCTGAAAACGAAGGACAGTTCTAACGTTTAAAGAAACACCAGAGAGCTTTACAGCATAAACTCTGTCATTTTGTCTGTTCAACGGGCGCTCCAAAGTAAACATTTTCTCGCCCGAAAAAACAATATCTGCACCACCGTGCCGCTTCAATAGCGATTTGCAACGCTTGACTCTTTCCACCTTGTTTTTGTCAGTGACGCCGGCAATTTTTTGTTTACGGTAGCACTTAAGTCTTAAATCTTGTTTTATAACCTTTTGCATAGAGGTATATGACATGTTCAGCTCTTTAGCTAGCTGCCGACCTGAGCGAGCAGGATTTCTTCGTAAACGTTCTCTTACCACTTTGATGATTGCTGGAGTGCGCTTGACGCGCTTTCTTTTTCTAGTTTTAGCTGGAATTGTTTGCCCAGTAGTTTTGTAACGAGAAATTGTTCGACTAATCAATGATTTGATGACTTTTATATCATTTAGGCGTCTCCAAATATCAGCTTGACGTAAATTTTTTTTGTGTAATGAAATTATCAGCTCCCTGATAGGATTTAGATCTGTATTTTTTATACAATCCCTCATTTTTTCTTCCTCAAATTTTTAAAACTTTTTCTAAACAAATGTCAAAACAAACTGTAAACAAGGGGAAAGTCATATGGTACGGGGTTAATAAATGATTGGGGTTCGAAAATGTGTTTCACCTTATGGTTGCCACCCTGTACACTAAAAATAGTTAGGTTTTCCTCAAAACTATTGCAATGATTTGTAAAAAAATTTTTAAATTTCTTATTTTTATATGAATTGCATTAAATTTATCACGCTCAAGAAATTATTTTATTTCAAAATTATAAAAATAGTTACAGTTGCATTGTAAAGCATCTGCTTCACTAAAATAGCTTTAATCCGGATCGTACTCTTTGTTAAGTATAAAATCATTGAAATGAAAAGTATAAAAATTCTTAGAGCAATTTGAATTCATTTTAGTATTTAAAAACAATAAAAGTTAAGAAAAAAAAACAATAAAGATAAATTCAATAACTCTACGATAAAAGAATTTCTTAAAAGTCGCGCGTTAAAAATTTATTACATACAACTTTAGCATATTTACCTTTGGCTCACAAATTTTTTGCTTTTTTAAATAACTGTTTTCGCAATTCTAAAGTTCTTTCGCTGTAGTCTTCGTTTACGTAAAATCGATCGTTTCACAACTTTAACTGAACATAGTTATCCATAGCAGTTTTTTTGTCTTTGTAGTTTAAAAATTTAACTATTATGGTTCTGTAGTACTTTTTTTCTCCGTCCTGTGCGCCCGTTCAATTTCAAAATTACCTTTAAATCCAAGTTTTGTCTTTAAACCATTTTGAATCTTTTCTTTGCTCAATTCCCACGTTTCATTTTCGTCTTCTTCAGAAGAAATACGTAAACCGTATTTCTTCTGCTCCTGTCTTCCAACTCAGCTAGTTTGTCTTTGACAACAACGTTTGATGTATTATTTACCAGTGGGAAAAAAGACGGTGAAAAGACGTCTTTTAAAGTCTTATTAACGATGTCTTTTTTACATCGATTATGCAAATCTAAAAGACATTTTTTCGACATCGAAAAGGCGATGTCGAAAAAGTTTTTCTTTATCTTGTCATGAAAAGACATAAAAAATGCGTTTTAAAAACGTCTTTGTTTATCAAATATGCACTTCTAAAAAAGTTTTTTTCTCGTGGTCGGAATGACTTTTTTGTCATACTTTTTAGTATACTATAGTATCCTATACACTATAGTATTCCTACTTTTCAGATATGAAAAGCATTTTTTATCAAATTAAAATGATAATAGCTCTTCATACAAAGCATGACAAAAAGCTCTTTTCAACGTCGAGAAAAAAACCTCTTTTAGATGTCAATATAAAAGAGGAAGCATTTTGTACATTTTTTATATGTTTAAACATAGGAGAATAATTTATAAATAAAACAACAGTATTGTTCAACAGAATATTTTTTCATCTTTCTCTTTCTCTTCTGTTTCTTGAGCGATCTCTGTTTCTTGGCGTTGTTGAATAAAGTTAACTATTTCACGTCGAGAACTCTTTTCATACGAGCTGGTTACAACTTCTAAAAAATAAGTTAATATAAAAAACAGTCTATTGCTTGAATGTTATACAAAAAAGCAAATGAAACTTTATAAGCTGAGTGAAACACATTAGACTTACCGACTAATAATTCAAAAAGGGCTGTATCTTTTTACCCCCTCATGTTTCCAGCGCGGTCCTTTTATTTTAAACCCAGTAGATTAGATAGGGACAGGAGCCAAACGGTAAACAGTCTAAAAATACATAAAAATGAGTATGCTAAAGAAATTTACGACCATCAAAATGACTGTACAACGATGTATTCTATTATGTAGTATTTAAATCTAGCTAAACATTTGCACCTCTTAGGTTTACTATAAAAGCCAAGTTATAGAAAACAGATATTGTCTTCTATGACGTGACTTTTTTATTGAATTTCGCTGAAATTAAGTGTTGTAGACTCGTAACAATTTAAAAATCCGTTATTGACTAAAGACGATCAAAACGAAAAGATGAATCAGCTAATACACCTTGAGAGTTGTTATTCATTTAAACTGGATAAAAGTATTAATCAAAGCTCTATTGTAGCCTGAAACATAATGATGCTTTAAAGATAAATCTGTTGTCATTATGTGCATTTTTTTACTTGCTTTGTTAACGATAGACAACAGTTAACAAGGAAATAACAACTTTAACATAACAGTTAAAGAGCCAATCTCTTGCATAAACAATTTTAATCATTCAACTAAATAAAAACAACAAAATTATTCAGATCGTTTAAAAATATATATAAAAAAATTGCAAGCCTACTGAATGCTTCTTCTTTTCTATCGTTCGTTTCACTGGCAATTGAACAAGTAAATACAGACAGAAATTGTTTAAAGATTTTATTTTTCGTCTGAAAATAAATATTTTAATTTAATATGTAATAAACAACGTTCTTCAAGCACAACACATTAAAATATTAGTCTAAAAATAAACGGTAAAACTTTTTAAAACACACCTGCGACTAACTTAATTGAGACTAGATCATATCAATATCATACTGGCACCATGCAATCCACTTTTTGCTTCTTTCCATTAACATTTACTAGCTAAACAGCTGCAATTATATATATATATATATATATTATAGTATATATATATATATATATATATATATATATATATATATATATATATATATATATATATATATATATATATATATATATATATATATATATATATTCTATATTATATTAATGCATATATATTATGTATATTTTATATAATATATTACTTTATTACATAAATTATAAAATCAACCCGCTTACCGAAAATAGTTGATTTTTAATTAAATTTCCTATGCAAAAACGTTTTACATATAAAAATATTTTGTAAACAAAAAACGGGCCAATCAGAACGTAACAAAGATATCGTAATTACAATACTGTGGGTTAAAACCCATCTATGTTAGGTTCTATTGGCAATAATTATTTTCAATTTTCTTAAGCAAATAATGATTTCCTTATTAACAACGAAAGTTGTTAATAAGCAAATAATAATTTGTTTATTATAATTACAATAAGCAAATTATGATTTGCTTAATAACAACTTAAGTTGTTTCCCAGTGGGAAACGTTAGTGAATTTTCCCCTCCCCCTCCCAAAAAAAATTTTTTTTACTGGGTGTTGTTTAATTTAATATTTAAATGAAAATTTTCTCTTTTTTTTTTTTAAAGGTCATCGACATAAAAGACGTCTTTTCTACGTCTTAATAAAGACGTACAACCGATTGACGTCTTTTCGATCTGTTTTTTGAAAACGTCTTTTTAAAAGACGTCTTTTCCACGTCTTTATTTAAACTGATTATATAAAGACATAATAAGTCATAAAAAAGACGTCTTTTAATCATCTAAAGATATCTTTTTTTCCCACTGGGTTTGGTTTGATGATAAGTTTGGCTTTATTTTTATTTTTGAAAGTTCTTGAACAACTGATTCATATTTCGCCTAGAAACTCAGCTTTTTTTTTTCAGATTTTTGTATAACTTTTATTTTATTTGAGACTAGACATGACTTATATTTGAAATATTGATGATATTGGGGATCTGTTAAATGTTTAAGGTACTTGAGGCAACTATAATGGTTAATAAAACAAATTTCAAATCATGAAAGTTTTCAAAATTAAAATCATAAATCAAAATTTTAACAGTAGAAAACCTAAAATAAAACAGTAGATTGTATAGTAATAAAAGTTACATTTAAAAATATTCAATTAAAAATAGGCATGAATCAAAACCAAAATCAAAATCAAAAAGTCAAAGACTTTTTTCAAAATCAAGTAGTTGCTCTTAAAAATTTAACTGTTAAAACCTCTTTGAAAACTTACATCCAGTTTAAATTAGTCATATATCCCTATGTAACGCGTTCAGAATTTGTAATTTTTACGTCATATATTGGTATCCCAGCAGTCCAATTAAAAATTGACACCCCACAATATTATTTATATTTCATATCTCTTTAAAATAGCTTCCCTAATTTACTTTTTTTTTAAAAGATTGTGCTATGTTAAACATAAAATTTTGAGAAAAAATATTTTTTTTTTCAATTGAAAATACCGAAAGGATTGGAGAAGGCGGTTGTCCCCATTGTGCCCTATGGATCCGCTATTGAATATTAACCAAGTCTTTGACTTAGTTAATATTCAAGATAAACACTATTTACTAATAATGGAGCCATTAACGCGCGATTATTACTTACTTTATACTGAAAATTGCAGCTAATTGCGGTTACTTGCAGTTAAATCTTTAATTAAGTAAATTTAATAAATAGATTAAACACGGAGCAATAGTAACGTAATTTGAGTAAAAATGTTTCAAAATGGAGTTGCACCCTACATTACCAAACTCGTTGAAATCGGAACTAAATATTTAGAGACATAAGTTAGGAAAGACTAATTTTTTTTATATAATTCTTATCCGTTTAGAATTTACAGCTACTTGAAGTTTCTTCAATGTTAGTTTGAACATGTTTCCCTTTACTGTTATCCTTATAAGGTGCTTGTATCAATGCATCAATACTGAAGTTTGGTACCAAGAAGTCCTTACGGTCTTATCACAGAGTACAAGTTCAAAAGTTCTTTTTGCGACCGTGGCGCAGTGTCCAGCCGGCAAATAACGTTGAAGTAACGTTGAAATATCGTTGAAACCTAACGTTGAGTTTACGTTCATTTAACGTTTAGAATGAAAGTTTTTTTCAACGTTGCTTTATCAACGTTAAATCAACGTTAGGTTCAAACGTTATATCAACGTTGATTCGACGCGAAAAAACGTTACAATAACGTTGAATTTACGTTGATACAAGGTTTAAAATGATAGTTTTTTTAACTTTGATTTATCAAAGTTAAAACGACTGTAAAACACTTTTTCACCATTAAAACATGCTATGTATGTCAAAATGCATATATGTGTGTAAACATGCTATGTGCGTCAAAATGTGATCACTATCATAACGTACTATGCATGTACATTAGTGTTGCTGTACATTATCAAAGTATATTATGGATATTAAATCTATTCATAGTCTATACTTAGAGTATTTAGAACTTTTTCAGTTTAGTTTAGTTAAAATAGCTAGGTATGATTAAAGAAAGAGATAAAACTTATTTTATTTAAATAAAATTTACACAAATTTCTTCTCTTTTCCACCACCTTTTTGAAATAGAGCGTAATTTACAAAATCAAACAATGTTCCATTAACCGAGATTTCTTTTGGTCCATTGAATACAATAGAACAAGCTGTAAATAAAAAAATATATATATAAAAAATCAAAAAGGGAAGATTTAAAATATATATAATGGAAAAGTGTAACAACTTATAAAGGTATATCTTTTTCAACGCCATATAGATTAGTGTTCTTAAAACATATTTTTCCACCTTTGCCCTTCATATCCGTGGAGGCCATATAACTAAAGAGTCCATAAAGTTAGTTATTAATAACTTTTTCAAATATTTAATTTAGATAAAACAACCTTTTTTCAAAATAAATTAATAATAAAAATATAAAATATTTCTAGCATTGAAAAATAATTTTCGTGGTGGCCACATAAAATTCTTATAAGAAATTTAATGTGGCCATTTATTAATGGTTTAACGTCCAAATTTTTACCTTTTTAGAGAATAATAGAGGATTTTAGAAGTGGTTTTAAAAAAGAGGACTTTAGAGGATTTTAGAGGAGCTGCGGACACCCTGATTATAAATGAGGTAAGAGCCCAATACTGTTTTTGATTACCTCATCATAATTTTGTGTATTCTATCTTTAGAAGACATTCCACCAATTAACTGTAATTGATTTATCTGTAAAAAGTATAAAGTAAATCTAATATTATGCTTGTGGAGAAATATTATATTGCGGAGAACCATCCAAACCACACAAGTGGAAAATTTGCATCCAAGTTTCTACTTGTGTGCAAATCTTGCATCCACTTGTCAACATTCTCATTATCACATTTTTCTTTTGTAGTTGTGAATTTAAAATTTTCACAATACTGTTTGCTTTCTTTTGGAATTGAAATAGTTATACAAATAGTTATATATTTTGTATCAACAAAATAACTCTTCTTACCGCATTATATAAAAAATAATATTTTGTAATATATAGATGTAATACCTGAAGACAATTTAGTTTTTATTTGTATAAACTTAAGCCAATTCTTCTCTGCATTTTAGTGCAGCCAACGCTTTGGTACCTGGAAGCCAACAAACAGTTTTATCACTAATCCAATCAGATGGAATTACTTCTTCTTGTAAATCTTCATTCCAAACAGCTCCTTTCCACATATTCGATTTTGAAAAAATTACATGAACTAATAATAAAATGAAGAAACCATAATATAAGTGTACTAACAGGCCTAATTAAACTAGCTAAATTCAAATATTTTATAACCATGATACTTGCTAAACTATATTAGTAGACATTATTAGCAAAGATAAGATTTTCTTTATTTTATAAATTTATTATATTTTAAACTCATTTTTATTAATTTATTTATTACTCTATTATTCAGCAGAGTTCTGAATATATTATGTTCAAATAACTTAAGGCACAATAACAAAGAAAAATAATGAAAGAATCATAGGTTGCTAAAACATAAACATCTACATAAGATAATTTTGGAATATTGAACAAAAATAGAAATACAAAAATATAAAAATACTCATTATTGATGTAAAATATAATAGTATAATATAAGGTATATTATAATATATGATGCAATAATATCTACTTTTGATTGAAATATAAAAGAACAAAAATTAAAAAAGAAAATATTTTAATAAATAATAAATTATCATTCAAACAATTTTAGAGAACAAAAAATAACTTGTAACTTATTTTTTACTCATCTTCATTTAATAAACATTAACTTATTTTTTACTCATCTTCATCTAATAATCAATAATATTAATACCAATTTTTAACATTATTAGAATTTTTTTTTTATTAAAAAATAAATATATTACATCAGTTACTTTTTGGGCTTTTTTTATTTTACTTAAAGCGTCAACTCAATCCTAGGTTTTTTTCATAATTGAGTTTTAATTTGTAATGTTGAATTAACACTGAAAAAAAAAAAATATTAGAAGACAAAAAGAAAATATTTCTTTATTGAAATATATGTAAATATTTCAATAAAGAAATTTTAGATTGATTTTTATAAATATAAATTTATATCAATCAATCTAAATTTTTTTCTTTTCCGCCACCTTTTCGAAATGAAGCGCATTTTTAGAAGTCAGACAAAATGCCATCAATTAAAGTTTCAGTCGTTCCATCGTATTTAATAGAAGCTGTTAATAAAAAAGAATTAGAAAAAAAAAAAAAAAAAAAAAAACACAAGGAGAAATTTTTGAATATATAAAAAATGAGAATAAAAAAGTTTTACATATCTTATAAAGGTATACCTTTCACTACACCATATAAATTAGTGCTCTTAAAGCATATTTCCACCTTTCCCCTTCATATTCACGGAGGTCACTCACAACAATTGTTGGAAAATATTCTAAATTATAATAGATAAGAGAACTGATATTAATTATGCGAGAACTAATATTAATTTTTTTTTTTTAATTTAAATTGAACTCATTATCAAACAATTTTTTTTCTAAATAATTTAATCCTTAAAATTCCTGAATAATTAAAAATTATTTTGATTACCTCAGCATTATTTTGTGAATTCTGTCTTTTAAAGATATTCTATCAATTGCAGTTTTTTAAAATTTTTTTAAAAAAAAATCGATTGATAGGGATATGTACTTACTGCTCATATCCCTATCAATCGATGTATGCGCGCTCCGCTGCGTCTAGATTTTTTTTGGGAAAAAAAAATACGTTTATTTATTTAAGGCAAATAAGAGAAAATGGTGAGGGGGTCATTTTTATAATCTCCCAGGAGGAACTAGAATAACGACACTCATACTCAGTCTTGAAAAAAAGCATTTTATCGGATTTTTTGGCGTCGAAGCGTTGTTTTACTTTTTTTTTTTTGATTAAATGAGAAAGTTTTATCAAAACTTTGTTGCGACAGTCGTAATATGAGTCGTGTTATCATTTTGTTCTGACTAAGACTTTTTTATATTTCAAAAGGTCAAGCTATTCGTCTCAAAATAAATTAGAATGAGCTAGGTGTCGCATTTGAATTTTAATTTTCTTATTAGGCAACATGTAATAAAATAAACACTCCTAAACTTTGTATTTAGTTTTCAATAATAGCTTATTATTATTTATCGTAGTAAGCTTAGCGATTTTACTATTAAACTCATAAAATCTGATTTTTTTGTTTAAATTTTTTTTAAAAAAAAAACATCTTTAGCGATGATTTAAAAAAACAGAAATCATGATTTTGTCAAAAAGTTTAGTAAAGTTACTGCTTAAAATAATACTGAAAATAGCAATAAAAACTACGGTCTACGTTTTAAAACATTTTGGACATATTGTTTTTTGCCAATAAATTTCAAAAATTAAGAATGAATTATGGAATTTTTTCTTAAAAACATGACATTCAAACAATTTATAATAAATGTTCCTATTTACACGATTTTGCTTTGATTAAAAAAATTTTAGGTTACCATTTTATAAAAATAAATTTGCAGATTTTTGTATGCTAAGCATTGAGTTTAAAAAAACTAGTAATGAGAAAGCAATAATGAAAATAAATTTTTTAATTTTTTTTAAATTTTATTATTAAAGTTGTTAATGTTTAGTTTTGTATGTAACTTGATTGAAAAAATGTTTATTACTTTAAATAATTAGTTTTTCCGATTCAATTTTTTTAAATATTCGTGTTAATTGTTATTTTAGTAAGACTAGTTAACAATTTTAATTTTAAAATTAATTATTACCAAAACAAAAATGGGTAAGCCCACTCACTAAACATTTTGAGAAAACAAACTCAAGTGGGTTTTTATTAATAAGAAGTTCTTCCAGTAACATTAAACAACATGTATATATATATATATATATATATATATATATATATATATATATATATATATATATATATATATATATATATATATATATCCTACTGTTAAGTGGCCTATAATAATTCTATTTTAGCGCTCTCGTTTGTATAGACTTGAAGTCTATACATTTTACAGTTTTTAAAGGAGTGTATTTAAAAAGCAACACAAAATAAAAAAAACTGAAAGTTTTTTTTAGAATTCTAGTTATACCGTTAACATCCATAAAAGAATATCTTTTTTTCTAATTTTTGTTAGTCTTTTTTTTCTTAAATTTTATCAAAAAGTAATATACAAAGTCATGCATTTCTTCTAAAGAGGAACCCTGTGATAATACTTATAATAGTTTTCTATATATCCATCAAGTTTTTTAAAATTTCTATATTTCCATCATGTACTTTATAATTTTGAAAAATTTTTTTTTGCGATACTTCCTTTCTGTTTATTTAGAAAAAAATTATTTTTCATTTATTTATATTTTTAAGTTTTAATATCTTTTTTAGCTTAATTTAGATTCTAAGGTTGGATTTGACAATCATGAGTGACGACTATGAACGTGTGCTATGTGCTAAAAATGAAGTTTTTGTGTATAAAATACCACCAAGGCAAAGTAGTAGAGGATATCGGTAGGTTTATTGCTGTTTGGGGCAAAGTTATAAGTTATTTATGGGTAGTTAGTTACATGCTGTCCCAGTTTAAATATAAAGTTTCCTAAATGTTCCCACTTACAATTTTTTTTTATATATACTGTATGTTGTTATTATTATATTTATATACTTTTTTTTTTAATTTTTTAATCTATTTTGCAATGTTTGTTGTCACAACTTGTTTTGCTGCTACAACTCTCCCAGGGAACAAAGGTGTGGCATAGAAAAGCAAGTTGAGCATGTTACTACCAAGGTACTAGTAGGGATCAAACTTTATAATGAAAATTCTTTTTTACATAGTAAGTCACTAAATTACAATATATATATATATATATATATATATATATATATATATATATATATATATATATATATATATATATATATATATATATATATATATATATATATATATATATATATATATATATGTATATATTGATTATATTAATTTAGCACACAAGTGGTTCCAATCATTTTTAGTTAACCGTACAAAAGAAGTTAAAATTGATAGATAATATTCCACAAACTAAATGTAAAATAGGTACAGTCCTGGGTCCAAAACTTTTTATTATCTTTTAGAGACCACTATGCTAATATCTGAACATAATCAATGTTAAAACTTTTAGATAATCAGATGATTGTCAAACTTTAGCATTCCTTCATTTATCTCAATATAATGCACTAGTCCTGGATATACCAAAATAACTTGAATACATTTCTAAGTAGATGAGTGAATCATTCTTATGTATTAACCAATCAAAAACAAAAATATTATTTATGGTACCACCTAGCAATCAAAAAGATATTATTATTAGAGTTACTTTTGTTAACAAGTAACTCTAATAATGTTTGCACAGCTAGATTATTGCAACTCCCTCTATTTTGGAATTGAAAAGATACTATTAAAAAGACTGATATCTGTTTAAAATTGTGCAGCAAGACTAGTAGTTAAAACCAGAATAGAAAATCAAGTAAAGGACCAGGAATTCAACAGTTTGCATAGACCAAAAATTAAAGAAAGAATCTATTTCAAAGTCCTTTTAATAATGCACAAATCTATTATCCTGGAAGCACCAACATTATTATGCAATTTAATTCACTACTCAATGTCAGAAAGAACACTAAAATTAAAGGAAACAAAATATAGTAATTGTTTTGGTAATCGAGCATTAACCCACTATGCTTTTAAACTTTGTAATATACTTCCAAATAAAACACAACTATTTATAAGAAAATACTAAAATCTTATTTAATGGCAAATGGGGAACTATTCCACCAGAAAACTCTCTAATATATATTTAAAATTTTGGTAATGCATTTAAAATATGCATTTTAAAAATTCTACCTCCACCACATCCCTGGTAGTACAATGCTCAACTTTTTTGTCAAGGTTTGTGTTTCAGAGTTAAAGCGTTGAAAGGAGATTGTAACCAAAACATCATTACCCCTATTTATATTTCATAAAATGTTAGGAATATATAAGCTTTTTTTTTTCTAAGACTTTTTTTTGTATCAAAGTATCTAGTTTAATTGTGATCTAGAACATTGAGTTTTTAGGTAAAGTATATATTTATAAGTAGTAGTTATAGTAGTTATTATAAGTAGTAGTTATAATCAAAAGAAATTTTTTGAAAATAGATAAGGTTTTAAAAATAGTAAACACAAGCTCATAAATGTCATATTTCACATTTATTGTGAGTTATTATCAGTATCCCCAAATAAACTCTGGGTTCTTCTGGGTGAAGAACCCAAAGTTTATTTGGGGATACTGCTTTTTTTTTGGCAATTTTTTTTTTTTGGGGGGGGGGGGTGATGTTTTTGATTTCGTTAATAATTATGGTAAACATAATTTTATAAATGTTATATTTTTTTGATTAAAAAAGATATATTTTAAATGACATTATATTTAAAAAAATATATGATATTTTTTTGGATCATTAAAGGGACTACCAAGTCCCGAGACATGTTGTGTTCATATTAAAGAGAATGTTAAAAAAAACCGTCTAAGCAAATTTATTTTGATTAAAACTAATTAATAAATGTATACCAAGAAAAACAAATCTTGTTGTTTTAGTCGAAAATAGTCTTCTCCATTTTCTGCGGTATTTGGAGTCTGTAAAATAAATGCGATTTTCCAGGCGCAATATACAGACTTGATAATCTATTCAAGTGTGTTTAATTCATAGAAGTTTTAGTACATGACGTCATTGGAAACATTCTAGAAATTCTTTAAAAATTTTACTAATAAATTTTATTAAAATAACTGATTATAGTTAGATTTTTTATTTTCTAAAATCTTCACATAGAAAAAAAACTTTATGTTTTTTTGTAGTTATCAAAGCCGTGGCTACATGGGCCACGGTGATGGTGGACCTAAATCGAGTTATATAATATCTCCAATGATTCACGAATGTGTTCTTTACATTTTGATGCAAGTTGTTTCGAAAATTTTACGAACAATTAATTAAACCAAGCACTAGAAAAAGATATAAAAAATAAGAATATACTAATAAAATATATAATTTGTAATTAACTTTCAAAATTTTGACAATTTAAAAAATATATATTATAAAACATTTATTTTTGTAAACAAATGATAATAGTTTAAAAGATTTACGGCTTTACAGATGTGGCTCTGAGAGTGAGCCATAATATTAAAGTAATAGTTCATTTGATAATATATTTTTAAAAATATTTATGCTAGATATCTCAAAATGCAACAAATCGTGTATAATACAATTCCTATAACATTTCAACAGAATACTCTAGAACTTTATTTTGCTTAGTCAGCGTATTTTTTGAACCAATCGAATTAGTTTGTTTGTTAATTTGGTGGGTTTTTAGTGTTTGCAAGTATTCCTTTTATTCTTGTGCAAGATGTTTTAAGAACATTCAAGTTAATTATGTTTCCATGTATGTCCATAAAATAAAAATTAATATATATATTTTTTTAAATTTTTAAGCCCCCGCCATAATATATATTGGATGTTATAATAATGGAAATATAAATAATGAAATAAGATCACCTCAATTCCAAAAAATACATTTTTGAAAATCAGAGAAAAAATGCGTCAATAATTTTTTTTAAATATTGACAAAGTAAATTAATAAAAGTGCATTATTATTTAGGTTAAAAATTATTTTATCTCATGTTTTGAAAGAAAAACTTATAACAAAAGAAATCAAAATACTCGTGGTCTAGACAACTATTTAAAAAAAGATGTGCAAATAAAATACTATTTTGTTTTTAATTTTTTTACAAACACATTTTAGAACTTTAAAATGTAATAAAAATGAATATGATTTGGAAATTGCATGTAAAAAATAATAATCGGTGTTTTATACAAACAAATAAAAAAATCTATGTCGTCATGTACTAAAACTTCTATGAATTAAATGCACTTGAATAAATTATCAAGCCTGTATAATGCGCCTGGAAAATTGCGTTTATTTTACAGACTCCAAAGGCTTCGACTATAACAACAAGATTTGTTTTTCTTGATATACATTTATTAATTAGTTTTAATCAAAAAAAATTTGCTCAGATGTTTTTTTTTAACATTCTCTTTAATATGAACACAACATGTCTCGGGACTTGGTAGTCCCTTTAAGTATAATTAAATAAGTTATGTTTAATAAACAAGTTGCATTTACTATGGGTTATCTTGAACAGATCTTAATAAAACTTTTATTAAGTTATTGTAATCGTTATTTTTATTATTGTAAAAGTCAAAAAGAATATGTAAAAGAAAAAAAACTTTTTGAAAAAATTTACGTTTCATTTTTTTGTTTTCCTCACGTAAATTAAAATAGCATGCTAAAGATCAAAAGTTTATTCATTCAAAAATTAAATTGCTAAAAGATTACTACATCTGTCCATCAACATCTGTAGAATAGTCCAAGATCATCTGTACACTTTTGTCCAAGATCATCTTTATTTTTTTTTACTCCAACATCTGTCCAATATCATCTGGAAATTCAATGACCCCTAACAACATCTTAGGACGATCGCGACATAAGAATAATTGGGTTCTATATGCCTTTTAAACTGTTGAGAGAATTTAACAAAATTTGTTCTCTTAAATGTTTTAAATTAAAAGTAAAAGATTGTTAAATTCATTGAACTAAAGTATCAAAATATCAAGTTTTTTAATTGATTGCTTAGAATACACATGGTTTATTATTTATTAAGTAATATAAATTAGTATAAGACAAAATAGCTTATCGGTAGATGAGAATTATAAGCTTCTATCTCCAAACTTTCATGGTAAAATAGTTTAATTTTCTGTTTTTAGTTATAATATTTGTTTTGTGTTCAAAATTATATAATTTTAATATACTAATTTTATATTATTATTATTTATATAACTTTAAAAATTGTTAGTTTTTCTATTTTGATTATCAATTTCAACCTTATTTAATAAAGTTGGAATTAACAATTAATTTTTAAACAAGCAATTTTAAAAATTATGAAATTAATAATGTATGATTTATTATAAAACATAAATAACATAGTTTAAATTCTCACAACGTTAAAAAATGGAGATAAAAGCCTATTATTATAACATCACGAGATGTAACTACATCTGGTAATTTTTTTCCTAGTCCGATAACATCTGGAAGAACTTCCTCCAGATGTAACTACATCTGAAAAAATTCTTATAAGTAACTACATCTGGGTAAAATAATGAATTTATATTTATTTTTTCCAAATATAACTGCATCTAGTTAAAATAATGCATTATAATTTAATAATTTTATAAAATTCTGTAAATTATTTAATATAATTGGTAACTAAATCTGATGTAACAATGTGTTAACCAGTAATAAATTTGTTATAGCATTTTAACGAAATTGGAAATTTGTGGAAGTATTTCTCAATCACCCCCTCCTCCCTGAAATTAAAATGTGTTCTGGGAAAGCATGAGGTCCTTTTTTGGTGTTCTTTTTTTCTCTACTCTATTTCAGCGCTGCAT